GTCTTGGTGGTAGCACTTGAATGAGGCATTTCTGTGTTCTGTGCATGGCAGGGCTGTGTGCATCCCTTCCTCTTTTTTTTGTTGCCCAGGGCCCTCTTCCTCTGTGCTCTTGTGGGCTTGATGTTCGAGGACAAGACTGAGGATGAGCTGGAGATCTGCTACGGCCAGAGCCCTGACATTCCCGGAAGTTCCGCGGAACTCCCCAACATTCTGTGATACAGAAAATGGCAACATCTTGCTGAGGCGAGGATCTTTCAGAGGAGCAGGTTCACGGGAACAGACTGAAGAGTCACCATTGATTCCTCCCAATATGCTGTGGAGAAATCCTGGCAGGACACTTGGAGAGTCTTCTTTACTCTGCGCATCTTCGTCACAGTGGCTGGCAGGGAACTCAGCGTTTCAGATCTTTTTGCTTGGCCCGTTTCTGCTGAAGGTGTGTTCTCCGCTTACATGGTGACAGGCAGGGGCTGGTGGTCAGAAGGGTATGAGGGAATGGATCCCCACAATGCAGAGTCGCTCTACGATCTCTACTAGTAGACGAAGCAGTATGTCCTGCTGACCTTCCTAGACTCTGGATACTCCACGCTTTGATCGTTTCCGTTCCCCTTTGCATTCCCTACGAACCATTACTGTGGCAAGTACCTAGTGACTTCAGGGCATGATTTAGAGGTCTCCTGGACTCCACCCTGCCGCAGCACCTCGAGGACCGGGGAGGTTTCCAAAACTCAGGGGAACCTTCTTGGAGCAACGAGGATAGTTGTTTGGGGGTATTTCAATTTTTTCGGAAAGACGCATGTCGTTTGTTGGCACGGAGTTGCCCTTGTTCACAGGAGCACTTGGGCCCGCTCTCAATCTCGGCCGTAAGTGCTATCAGCCACGTGCTTGCATGGGCTTGCATGGGCAGGAGGGTTTCTGCAGCTGACAGAGCCTTGAAGATTTGAGGCTCAGTGCGGAGTCTGACATACCTGGTGGTCTCGTGGCAGTGCGCCTTGCCATGAAGCTGGGGGAGCAGAGAGGATGCTGAGAGCTGACAAGTCTCAGGTGCGCAGATCCTGCGACGGGAGCTCCTCAGTCTTGAAGCCCTGCAGATTTCCGGATTTGTATTGGTGGTCACGGGCTTGCTTCTTGGCTTTGAGTGCTTGAGTGCCTGAGTGCCTGCACGTGCCCTTGTTTCCTTTTAGGCTGAGCACTGCCAGGATACTGCTGGCACCACAGAACTTCGTGGCTGACCTGGAGCTGCTCCTGCCCGGAAGTCTGCTCTCCAAGGCCGGCTGCCTGGGGGCCAGGGCCAGGGTGGCCCAAAACCGATGCTTGCAGTGCTGTGCTATGCTGAAGTCCAGGCTTGGGCCTGCCAGTTGCTTGCTTTGGTCCTGGCTTCCATGGGCAACGCCATGCTCTTCGTCCCCGGGCTGCCTCTGCTGCAGAACGAAGTCCGGCATTTAGGATGGGCAACGCGCGGTCTTTGAATGTCTTGGCGTCTTGGAAAGCTGCACAGGACCTGGTGCCTCTGAGCGTGTCTCGTCCCTCTTGATGGCAGCGATGTCGGGTGGCGAGTTCCTTGGGCCAATTGCAGGCGAGTCCATGCAAGTCACGTGTGGATCACGCGTTGGCATCGCCTGGATCTGGCAGCAAGGTGGCGCCTTGGTCGAGAGCTATGGCTTCCGTGCCTCCTCCGGGTTCTTCGCCGGTGGCCTGGCCCCTGGCGCGCCTTTGTCCCTGGGCGCTTTCTTCGGCCTACAGGCCAGGCTGCATGAATTCCCCAGCCTCAGCCTAGTGCCTGCTTTGCTGACTCAGTCCCGGACCCTGAGCCAGCCGCTGCTGAGGGAAAGGCAGGTTTCTTACACGGAGGAGGGGCAGCTGGGCGCCTGGGCGCCTGGGCGGCTGGCGGAGCAGGTTCTCTCAAGTTGGGGCTCAACCTGACAGGAGTCCATGGACCTGGCCAAGAACCTCACAGTCCCCTTGGATCCCGAGAGTGCCTACAGGCGCTCATGCTAAGGTTGTAGTCTCCGACGCCAAAAGATGATCTGAAGATGGGTTGGCGTATCAGAAAGCAGATCCAAAATCCTGAACCTTGAAGCCCCTGAAGCCTAAACCTCAAATATTTTAAATCAAAATCTGGAGATCTTACTCTGTAAAACCTCAAGCCCCACCCAGGTTCCGGCGCCTGGCCTTTGTGGGCTCGGACTTCCGGAGGAGGCTCCACTCTGCTCCGGCACAAGAGCGCCCACGGCCCAGAAATGCAGAAATCTTCCATCCGTCCCAAGAGTTTGGGTAGGGTCCCATTCTTACACGTCGCGAAAGCTTTGCGTAGCGACATAGCGAGTGTGTCGTTTCCACCTAATTCATGCCCCCGCATCGTTACATACCTGTACCTATTCTACATCGACACACCATGGACCCATCCATCCTTCAGCATCTATGACGCCCCTCCAGTTTGCTGGGTCTTCATCTCGAAGTCACATTTGCGACTGCCATCAGTGTCATCATCACCCTCATCACCCTCATAGCAATGATCATGAGCATCACCCTCTTTCACCTCGCGTTCGAGTTTTCTTCTCATGGTCATCGTCTTCATCATGACCACTGAGCGCTTGTCCTGTCATTGTGCGAAGGCTTTGCGAAACAACGCCCTAAGCATGAGCACCAGCACCAGCGGCGGCATCCTCTACCACCGCTTCGCTTCTGTCGTAAACTTGCCTTGTTGTACCATACATCATCACCGCCTTCGTCGTGGTCCATGGTCACCTAGAATTAGCAAGTAACATCTGCCACATGTGATCATTGTCCGCCGTGTGGTAGCGTGGTTCGTCCTTCTTTGTTTAAGCATCAGAAGCACCCATCCTCAAACTTCCATGAACTACCTGCATCAACCATGTGTCTTATCATGCAGTTTTTCTGATCACCTGTCTTCCCTGAGTGGCTGTATCTGCATGTATCATAATTCATAATAACACTCGTCATTGCCATCATGGTCATAATCATGCGCGTCGTCGTCATTACCACCACCATCATCAGCATCATGACCATCATCACCGTCACTCTTGCATCCTTCATTTCATCCTGCATATCTGCATCTTCAGTATGCTGCCTGGCGGCATCCGTGGCAGAGGTCGCCCTTTCGTGCCGCGCTGGGAGGGCTCTTCAACAGCGCCCTCCTCCAGCTTTCGCCGGGCCTTCCTTCCACAGGCAGCATTTGCTGAGAGGGGTGATGCCAGACTTCTCCGGCACAGACTGTCGATATACATATGTGTGTACGATGTAGTGCGCGTGGATCCTGAACTCTTTGAATTTGAAGGCTCCGTGTAGGGCCACCACTTTTGCTCGCGAGGCTAAAGCCAGCCTAGGGCCGGTCCCTGAGGCCTCGGACAAGCATTCAAGATGGCTACATTGTACATAGCTTTTGAGCTGCAAGCAGTTCAAGCAGTTACGTGATACGTGTGTACGCTGCCGGGCTGCCCTCATGCAGGATAGGAGGTCAAGCTCCCATGGATACAGCAGTCGACCACGAGAAGGCTCTAGCAGGACGTGAAGAGCACCAGACATGTTGTGGCTGTCGCATGCACATCTTCCTGTACAGAAGTTCTCTGAAGAATTATAACGTAGGTCAGGTCCCTTATCAGTGGCTGCCAGTCGTTGCTGGCCTCAGCTCTGTACATACAGCGCGCTGACCGGCTGCAAATCAAGCAGCCGACTCCCTTCAAGGAGAAGCTTCTGCAGGACCCGGCGACCAATGCTGTTGCGGGGTGCCCTGCAATGTTGGAGGCATAAAAGCTGCTGCCAACCTGCGTCTGCCTTTGTTGGGAAATCGCCTTGGTATTTATTTTCTCGTAGCCTCGTGAACGGTTCTGAAAGCGCTTTGACATTTGAAGGCGTTAAAGAGGCAGAGAAAGCGATCCCATGGCCCTGGCTGCCCTGGCTGCCCTGGCTGCCCTGGCTGGGCTGTGCCTCGCCTTGCCGCGTGCTGTTGGCGCCGAGGAGCCAACCTTGGGGAAATCTAACTTTAAACTTGTGACAAAAATGCAAACACAATTCTCTGAACCTCAAACCTCTACAAGACTCTAGGCCTTGGTCTTCCCTTCAGTTGGGGACTCTGCGCTGAGCAGCCCAGCCGTGGACTCAGAAATCTTTTGTGTCGCATGGAATTGCTTCCAGAAGAGCTGAGGATGAGATCCACCGGGCCCTTGCGCCTGCCTGGGAAGCTCTGGTGGAGGACCGGAATGCCGCAGGCCGCTATGGGCCGCTATGGCTTTCCTGCAAAGCCATGCAGAATGCAGAGAGGGGGGAGTTCCCTATTGCTTGCAGGTCTGGTCCCTGCAAAGGATGAAGGCCGGCCGCAGCCTCCCATGGGCTGGACTCCTGGATTCTGAAGGTTCGGAAGACTTGCTGCCTTCCAGAAATCCTGCGCTTCCCCTGAGGCAGGGAGGAGGCCGCGTATCAGTACCGGCGAGTCCAGCTCGGGCAGGTGCAGTCCAGAAAGCTCAGAGCAATTCGCCGGAAGACAAACACCCGCGACTTCACCTGAATCTAGGTGGACTCGGCGCGTCTCCTTCTGGTTTTCGGCATGGTGCCCTCGGCCAGGCGCCCTCAGTAGTATTGCAGGCACCCGGAAGCAGATCTTTGAGCCAGGCATTTGGACTCATCCACTGCGGAGCTCTTCTTGCAGGAGCAAAATCAGTCCAACTCAACTGCCGACGGGCAGTGGCCCCGTGGAAGCTCACATGTTGGGCCGTTGGGCAAGGAAGCCACACCTCAGGCCGCTGGTGCCGCTGAACGCTCTGCAGCGCTACGCGGATGGGTCCACGCCGCTTCACCTTGCGGCCACGTCGTCGGACGGCGTTTGGGGCGTTAGCCGCTAGAAGGTGTACCAGCTGTGGTGCCAAACCGAGGTTCGGCCTTGCTGGGTCCCTGCTGATGTTGCTGGAAGCTCGTGCTGACGTCCACGCCACATCAGACTCAGGCCACGTTGCCCCATGTTGCCCCACGTTGCTTGGGCCTGCTGCTTTGCCCAAAGGAGTGCCTTTTTACCCCGAGGTGTGCAGCCGATCCATGCCGCTGCGATTGCCGGCCACCGGGATGCCGTGGATCTTCTGGTACAACACGGTGCAAACGTCAATGCTCCTCACGGCTTTGCGGGCAATGCTCCTCTGCACCACGGATGCTTCATATTTCTACGGCATGGCTTTTGCATGGTAAGATCTTGAACAGCTTTTTGGGACACTTTGCGGGTTGAGGCACTTTGCGGCTGAGATGGGCCATGCAGAGGTGGTGCGGCGCCTTTGTGAGCTGAATGCAGACGTGCACGCCGAAAAGGCACAGGGAGGCTCGATGCAGTGGTCTGTTTACAGCTGTGACCAGCAAGTGTACATTTAGAACCTCAGATCTCAATACTCGCCAAACTTGTCTAAGGTCCACTCGGCAGTAGCAAATGCAGACCCGTGAGTGTTCTTACGACTCTCCTTGAAACAGGGGTAGACAGTTTTGACATGCTTTGACGGATCAGTGTGCAGGCACGGCCCTCCATACTGCAGCGGACACTAACAACTCAGCGGTGGTACAGGCGAAAGCGGCGAAAAGCATCAGCCAAGAACTTTTTGCTGCTCAGGCGGCTCTAGTCTGCGAGGTCTTGCTGTCGGAGCCCTGCTCTGCAGACCCAGAAGCACTCCTGCTTGGTGATACGGCCTCCTTGTATCTGGCGGTCAGTCCCTCACTGCTCAGATTTGAAAAGGTTTGCATTCTGACCTTGATATCTTTCCTAGGCAGGGCGGGGCTTTCCTGATGTCATCGATGCCTTGCTGGCAGGTGGAGCCCACCCTGACAGGATCACCCGCCATGCACCGCTGCTACACTTTGCACTGCTCGATGTGTATGCAGGACACTTCGGCAACGGCGCGGCAAAGGCGCTGAGGCCCGTGAAACAGAGAGGCCGTGTGGTCCTGGTATGTCCTGGTTCCTGTTGTGGCTGCAGGCTCCAGTGGGCGGTGACGCAGCCGCTATGCTTCCGGGCAGCAGCCGTCAAGCACCCGGCTTCGAGGAGGCCAACGGCGCCACGGCGCTGCCCCTCGGACGGCATCACGGCATCACGCACAGTACGGCACGGTGCGCCCGTACGCCCGTACACATCCGTACACATCCGTACACCGTGCCCACCCATGAACCTCGAGGCACGCAGCCTGCGAGAACGGGCACTTGGCAGCGTCGCTCTTACATTTCGCCGTGCAATGTGCAACGCAGTGGAACGCAGTGCAAGGGGCGTCCTAGGCGGCGCAAGCGCTCCTGGATGGTGGGGCCCGGCAACTCGCAACAATGCAAGGACCGATTGTCAGCCAGGCCCTGCTCTGACGAAGTGCCTCTTCTTGCAGCAGGCGTCACTCCTCTGATCACCGCGCTTCAGTACCGCCAGAGATCCATCGCCATGGCTTTGCTGGAGAGCAGGACCACGTAGGACCACTCAGGATGTCATGACCAGTTCTGTTGTAACGAAGGACGCCTGCAAACGTCCATGTGGTGTCGCCCGCAGACGGGCCTACTCCTCGGCCATGCCACATCCATGCCACCACATGCCACGTTTGCTTTTCTTTGGCGTTGAGTCCTCTTCGAGCGGAGGCAAACGGCGCTGCACATTGCGGCGGCCTATGGCTTCTCGGAGGCCAACGGGACAGGAGAGGGATTCAACGATCTGATTGCAGCCTGTGTCCACGATGCTTTCAAGGTCGTGGCTGGGATCCTACGGCAAGGAGGTGCCGCAGATGTGAAAGATCATGCAGGCCGGCGGCTGGCGCGAATTTGCTGATGTTTCTATGTGCCTATGTGTGTGTTATGCTATGGCTGCTATGGCTATGTTGCCATGTAGGACACAGGCCAGTGGATTATGCCCGAGACACGCTGGTGGTCTGGTTGCTGGCACGTTTCCACGGCAGAGACGGTGGCCTGGAGCCTTTGCCTTTGCCTTCGTTGATCCTTCCGATTTTCAATGACTCTCTCTTTTCAACATGTGTGTCTCCTTTTCTCTCCAGGATTCCCTGGTCCGCAGCCACGCGAACGAAGAGCTGGCCACGCTGCTCCATCGTATAGATGAGTCCAACGCAGCTCTTCCCAAGAAAGATCTGTACAAGAGTCTCGGCATCTGTTGTTTGTGAGAAAGCTGGTTGTCGAAAACAACGCGGTGCAAACGAAAATGCACCGTCGCGCTACAAAGGAATGAGCTCCGCTCATCCGAATTTGTGTAAAAACTCTCCAACTGAAGTTCGATGCTGCATCCAGAGCCTGACCCCATTCAGGGCAGTATGGCTGCAGGCTCTCGCAGACCAACACGTTATCTGTCGACCCCGGCAGCGCCCCCTGCAAAAGGTAGCGTATTGTATGGCCAAGTCTGGTTCCTTCAATGCCAGGGCCTGCGCGTAGTGTGTCTTCAGAGCCTTCTTCTGGAGTCCGGGCCCTCCGGGCACCCTCGACCCGGAGATGCAAAGAGGCTTCCAAAGCACGATCCATACCCTCCTGATAATGCTTCAGTAGATCTCAGCCTCCACTGGGCGTGGCCGTGTGATGTGTGCGATGTCGTGTGAGGTGAGGACGTGCCGGCAAGAAGTGCCTGCCATCGGATCGTCAATGTCTTAGTCTCAGCCCTTTAAGACCCAACCTGCTCCATCCTGCTCCTTCTGACCTGGATACTCGCAATCACGACCCGAACGCCCATCAGCATGATTATGCAATTGCCCGAGGGCTGCAGCCACAATTCAGAGGCATTAAAAAGGGTGCAGGAGACTCTGCCAATATCAGCTCTCCCCGAGGACGTATCTCCGAGCCCAAGAGGATGGCAGCCTTCCGGAGGTCTCCAGGGAGCTCGCGACGCAAGCACGAGGCAGAAGAGTGTGAAGTCACAGGCACGCTGGGCAGTTGTTCAAAGCTGTTAGGTTCCCCAGAGTCTGCGCAGCGCTTTGCTGTGGCACGCTTCCTGCTGGCTGGGGCCAGCGACGTGCCGGTGGCGCTGGAGGCACCAACAGTTGGATTTGTGGATCTTAAAAGTCTTGAAAAACTTGATGACTGGGAATTTGTGCTGCGCTTCAGGCCCTGCTCCGGACCACAGAGGCGCGCATCGCAGCATCGCATGCGTCGCATGCGTCGCTGGCCGAGGGCAAGAGAAGCTCTCGAGCCCTGCGAGGCCTCCCTCAGGGTGGCCTTTGCACTTCTTGGCATTCCGGTCCGGGATCTACGCTACATTCCCAGCCAGGCCTGAAGATGGGAGCTGGGTTGAGACTTGTATAGGAATTGGGGCATCAGGAGCTGGTGCTGAACGGGAGAGACGTCCATGGATTGTTGCAGAAGATCCTGATATCTGCAAGACAAGCAGCTCATGGCATGGATGCCACGGAGGTCCAGGATCTCCTGAGCCACAGCAGCATCGAGAACCTTGCGACCCTTGCGACCGGCGTGTGATGTGTGTGCAGGCCTTGTTGGAACCCAGGCAGCAGCTTCAAGACCAGCCACGGGCCCACTTCGAGCTGTGACAAGCGCATCTCCACCGAAGAGCATATTTGCGACCATGCTTAGCACGCTGCAAAGCTTTGGAAGCCGTGATGTGAGGCAGGGAAAAGTGTAGAGAGTACCCTGTGATGGGATCTCAAGCTTTTTGGGGTTCGAGGCATTGATACTTTTCAGATGGGGACGTGGTAAAAGTACGCTTCAATTTTGTTGTAATGCACAACAAAGGCGCAGGGGAATCCGGGTGCTTCTTTTTGATACTCTCAGGAATCAGCATACAACACGACTCCTCGATTGCAAAATGGCGCTCTGCTTCAACTCTGAACAAGGATGGTGAGAACTGCACTTTGTCCTAGTTCATATCTTGAGAAGCTACTAGAAGCAGTGCTCTTCTGCAGTATCGATTCTCTTCACGGAAGAACATGTAGGAACTCCTCCAGAGATTGCTACTTGCAGAAGGTGTAAAAATACGACACAGCATCCTTCCAACAAAAGCCTTTTGTATTCATTCTTGAAATTCTAAAGCTTAATTTAAGAAATTCAAAGTGCAGAGTTAGGCAGAGAACCCAACTGCTAAAACAATAGGAGATGTTGCATTAAATTGTTGCAAGCGAGGCTTCAACGACTTGACATAGTTTAAGCCAATATAAGTAAGGACCACTCCCCTTAGCTAAGCTATTCAATCTTTGCCCGTTCATCGAACTAATGTATAAGAATGGCCAGGCTTTCTCACCGTAATAAATCTAACAAACTGTTTATGTAATGTATTTACCTGAATTATTAACAATAGCATTAGCAGTTGACTTTTAGTACTTGAACCATTTAGGCCCTCCGGTCTGTTTAAAATACATTTTGCGGGTGGCCTCTCAAACCAGCATTCTCCTCATGGTTCTATTAACTGACTTACTCGGGTTAGTCCAAATGAATAGTAGAATTGGTTCGTGACATCAGTTACGCAGCTTGATTTTTAAAAGCCTTGTGGCTTATTCCAATTAGTTTCAATTGTTTCAAAGGCCACTATTATGTTATTTAGATTCTTCAAAGCATTTGAACTTTTTGAAAGAATTCTTATTTTTCAGGAGAAGTGACGGATTGAGTTTTTCTTCGGATTTCACATATTTTGGAGAATATAAATGCCTCCCTAAGTATTTGTATGGTTCCCAGCACGAGATAGCGTTCGCATAGCGAATCTCTGACATTTCTTTCGACATCTGCGCTCCTTACATCAGAAAGGTTTGGAGTACAAATTGAACGAAGAATCTGAAGACAAAATGTAGTAGGTAGTGTAAAGATGTTATGGAACATAAGGGAAGGGTCGGCTCAAGTGATGGCGGATATCCCGCAGCATGCACATGGACGTGCAGTATCAATTGGAAACCGAAATCCCATAGGGGTATTAGATTCAGATAAGTCCTAGACTCAGTCCGAGAGCCAGTCAACCAAGGCACCGCATAGAGGAAACTAACTGGAAGCTGGAAAACACCAAAATCAACGCCAAACACAGAAAAAAAAGAAAAAAAAACAAACACCCAAACCAAACAAGGCATTTTGGGCACCCTCCTCGAATCACACAGTTTCTGGGAGGGTAAGGGGTACGGGCGGAATTGGAGATCCTTTAACTGGGGGGCGCATGGGACAGTTCCCCCTGACAGTGCTGAATCAAACGGATCTATACAGTTTCGGGGTAAGGGGTTTGAGGGGGGGTCTAGGACAGCTCCAGAACTCGCGCCGCCCTGACAGTTCGCGGTTTCTGGGAGGGTAAGGGGACCTTGCAGTCCGTAGAGGAGGGGGGAGGTTTGGGCTCGCTGGGGTCGCTGCACCATAGTTCCAACAAACACCGGAGTCACACACAGGTGGCGTAAGGCTTTCTCGCACTTACTAACCTCATCCAACCCATGTGCAAACCAACATTGATTAAAAGCAGTCGGCATGAGGCTTTCTAGCTTACTCACCCCAGCCAGACAAGGCTTATAGGACAAAAAATGCTCTGCACCTTCGAGCATAAGCAGCAATAGATATCAAAAGCATTGCATCCTCCTATTGCATGTTAGCGATGACAAGTAAGATCATGCAATCAGCTGACAAAATTGTCAAAGCTGGGAACCAAACTCTGAAGGAGAGGCTTTCGGATTGCGGGTCCCTTCACTGGAACTACTAGATCTGCGCCTTCTGCATCAACCAGCATGCGAGCATTTGTGGCAATGCCATGAGCGTCCAAGACACCGTCACTGCCGAGGTGCTTCCCTCGCGTGACTGCAGCACGCCGAAAGACTTCAATGACCATCCGATCCAATGCGAGCTCAACAAGTCTGACAGCATGATGCTGCACCTGCATCGCTGCGGCGTGCGTGGTTTTCTGCAAGTTGTGGCCATTGACCGAGACTTCAATGTGCTTTCACGGGCCTGGTGTGTAGCCGAGCTGGTGCAAGCCCGCAGCTGCCGACTGGATCAACACGTCATCCTGCACTCGCCGGAGGTCCTTGAGAAAAACTCGAGGCATCTGAGTTCTCTGCGGGTGGAGGACTGCTGCGCCTTGCGGCCTGAAGAAAAGGACAATCCTGTCAGCAATTGGCGGGAAAGATGAGATCCTTGAGTTTAACAAGCGTTTGCAACAGCTCCTCTTAGGCTCTGAGGGTACGGCAGAAGCCTGGCGCCGAGACACAACAAAGTGCTGGCGCGACTCGACAGTGACTCCGACAGTGTGCAGCAATGGCATTTGAAAGCTATGCCATGCTATGGATGCTGGGAGCATTTCGGCCCAAACCTGCCGTTGAGCAACATGACATTGAAACGTGACAGATTCCTGCGAATGCAGAACTGCCAACAGTCAGCTGTACCAGCTTGCTCATCGCGTTTTTCCTTTTGAAACCTCTGCCCAAGGTGTGTACAATGCAACAGGCAAACCCCTCTCTTCAAAATGGCAGCCACATGCATAGGAACCCTGGGAACACCATGCCATACAAACGAACGGCTCTGCTTGTTCCCATGTAGCGGGTGTTGCGGCTGTATGGTTCGGTGCTCCTTGTTGTCGAGTACATCTTTTCGAGAAAATCTGTTAGTTTGCAACTTGTGCATTCTTTTCAGAAATGCAAGCCAGAGGTACAAGAAGCCCGCTTCCCGACGGGAATCGCCAGAGGCAAGGCCGCCTTGGTTGCTTCGAGGGGCTTGTTGGCTGCCCCTACAGCTGCTGTTGACGCAGACCTGGCACCGGGATGTGCGGGACAGCCGTGCCCCAAGCATGCTTTCAAGATAGCAACCAGCAAAGTGTGCAGAGAGTCAGAGAGAGTCATGCTGCAGACGTAACCTGGAGTAAAAAGAGCTTTCAGTAACGAGGTGTGTGTTTCACCAAGCCGGGCTTGCTGGTTGTCGGCAGCACCATCTTTCCCGTGTCATCATCTTTATTTGCACAGTGCCACACAGGGTCTGGGCCTAGAAGGAACTTCACGCTGGCGGAACTCTACACGAGCTTTAGCTGTGGAATCTGTGGATGTTGGGAGCCCCGTGTGGGGGAGGAAGGCCAAACACCAGCTTGTGTCTTTCCTTCTCCTGCAACTTTCTGAGTTATTGTGGTGAAGTGGCAGTTGAGGCCCAAATCGTGACAGCCGCACGCCGCAGAGGAGGGACTTCTTTGGGCTCCTTCTTCTAAGTTTTGACTGGATGCTACGTTGCCTTCGTTTGCTGGAATGAAGGCGCTCGTGGCGGTCCTCCAGAGACCGCGGCCCAAGGTCGGAAGGCTCCGGGGCGCCTGTCATCAGGGCATTCCTCCATACTTTGCCATCCTTCGCCATCCTTTGCCATCTGCCTCCCGTCTCCAGGTCCAGGCCCCGGCCGTGGGCGGGTCGTCCTGCGAGCCAGAGAGGCTTCACGGTCCCGGTCCGATAGCAGGCCAGGCCGTGCAAAAAGGAGGTCTCAGTCGTCTCGCGTGTAGCACACGTGTAGCACACGTGCAGCCCGTCATGATGTGCCGTTATGCCAGGCCCAACCGGCCCAGGCCTGGCTTGAGCCCAGGCCGCCCACCGCAACCACCACGAAGGCCTCTGCTTCCAAGAACTTCCACGCTTTCTTTTTCGGTTTGGGTTTCGAGCTGTTCCCCAGCCATTTCAGCTTTTGTCAGGCGTCGGCGACGCATCGAGGCAAGAAGTGACTCGGAGGTTGAAGCGAAGCGGGCCCGGTTCCGCGCCCGGAAGCCTTCAAAAACGATCTTGCATTCATCTTGTTGTGCAGCTGAGCTCAAGGAATGGGCGAGGGCTGCGTGGCCAAAGTGCAGAGCCCCCGCTTGCAAACCATGCAAGCCCCAAGAAGGCAGAGAGGAAACGAGCTACACCCCGTGCAGCGCGTGCTGCGCCGCGTGCAGCTCGTGCCCGAGAACCCTCGGAGCGGGAATGCTCGGACGAAGACCGCTCGGATGCCTCATCCAAGTCACGCAAGGACCTTGTGCCAGACGCCCAGATCCGTTGTGAGAAGCGTTAGATGGGACTTCCCGCATTGCTGTAGACCCAGGTCTGGCAGGGACAGGCAGCGGAAAGCCGAGTACATGCAAATGGCAGCCCAACAGGCAGTTCGTTGTGCAATCGTTGTGCAAGTGCATTCTGAAGCTTGATGAGGAACACCTCTCTACAAGTGATGATAAGTCGACCCGCAGCTCCTGTGCTGGCTTCACGCAAGGATGTTCAACACACTGCTGACGTGTTGTCACCTCACTCATACAGAAGAGCTCCAGTAGAATAGTCAAGCTAATTTGGAAACCTTGCCCAATAAGTGGCGAATCTGTAGGCCGGCGCTGTGAGTTTTCCCATGTGCAGCCTTCCGCTTGACATGGCGGAGTGCTGGGCACTTCCGATGCCCCAATGCCGCCATGGGCCGCAGGATCCTCTTTTCCCAGATTCTTCTTCTGCAAATCCTGCAAGCTTGGGGCCTTTCCTTGTTGGGATGCCCAGCAGAGAAAGGTATCCGCGGGGCTTCGCAACTGCGTATGAAGCGGGTCTTCACACAGCTTTTGAGTGGAAGTGGAGATCTTGGCGATGAGGAGATGGTTTCAGAGCTGGAAGTCCTCATGGCTGAGCACAGTGGAACGGCTGCTTTGCAGCACATCCCCGCCAGAGCGCTTTTCCTGGCTACGGACGACCGACCGCTTCCCTGCGTGCCTGGGATCTTGACCACGGAGTTTCTGCAGCTGCTCTGGCTGAAATACACAATGCCCACGAAAGCCATGAACCTCCTGCTCCACAGCGATCGGCATTTCACGCTTCTCAGACCAAACTTCATCAGCTGCTCTGCAAGTTTTCTGCGCCTTGACCTGCGACCTGTTGTAAGGTTCCTGCGCACCACTTCCTGGGCTACCATTCTGAGGCTTGGCTACGGCTTGATCTTCGGCTTGGGACCTCTGCTTGGTGATGAGAACGTTGTTTGATGGCGTTTGCGGTAAGCGGCCGATCTGCGACAGTTTTTGCTTTGAAGAAAATCTTGAGACGCACTGCAGCCAAGGGCAAGTCTCGTGTGCTTCGGTTCCACCACCACAGGGAGATGACGTAGCTGCAGCCTCGCTGCGCTTTCACAGGTCCTGGCCAGGGAGTGTGCCCACGGAGGCCACTGTTTTCAAGCAGTTCCACGTCCTGGCTGGGTTCGACTACAGAGCCTGTGCCCGGCGCTTTGTCGGCCGAGAAGGCCCTTCGAGCTGCGCTGGGCTCGGGCCGAGAAGGCAGAAGGGGCCGAAGGCGCGAAGCGCAGGCAGCGCAGGAAGCGGCTGCGCCTGGCCACACCGCCAGCTGGCGGCAGCCCTGGCTTGAAGCTCATAAGCTCATATAAGCTCATGTCATCTCATGTCAGTTGTTTGAGGTGCAACTTGCGGCGCGGCAGAGTTGGGCTTGCGGGATCGTCTGCCACTGGGCCGTGGCTTTCGCCAACCTGGCGCAGGCACTTCTCGAGGCGCCAGGCAGATTCCTCTCACAGGATCAGGAGAAGTTGGTGCAGGCATCCGTTTGCTGCCACGTTGCTTCGCCAGCTCTGTGTACCCTTGCTGTGCGGACAGGCAGCACAGGATGAGCTCCGGCAGGTTCGATTGCAAGGGCTTGTAGCCTCAAAATTGTATGAATCCCTCACGATGGCCAGTTGTGGAGGTTGGTAGAATCCGAGTGGAGATGTTGCACGCCCATCGGAGTGCTGCCTCTAAGTATTCAAAGGTCGAAGCGGTGCTCTGGAGCTTGGACGGACCCAGCCAGGTGGCTTCCAATGTTGGCGCGGTTTTTGTATGAGTTACACTGTTACGCTTGTTTTGTTGGGTTTCCCGTTTTTTTTTTAGAGGTGGCAGCTTCCTGCTCCCTGGCCCGAGCCTTCCCCTTGTGGACGCTGCTGGCAAGCCTCGGCGGGCTTCCACAGCGGCTTCATCGCTTGCTGCCTGTGGCCCCACAGGAGAGCCTGCGCAGCCCAAACCAGCCACCTCCACCGACCTTGGCCAAGCTCTGAGCCTTTGCAAGGTCTTTGCAAGGTCTTGCATTCTGTACAATAAGAAGGGCGCTTTTACTATATCTTAAGCAAGGAGCGCCTTGATGAGGGACAGCCAAGGTGATCAAGTCCAGTGGCCACCAGTGCAGAGGCTCACAGCACAGGGTGCTTTGGTGGTCTACTTCTTGGTGGAGACGGTGGGCAGGTTGCTGGACGAGTTTGGGGTGAGGTGGTGGATGTCCTCTGGCGCAATCTGCCGATCATTTCAGCCAGACTGTGTTCAGAATTTGCGGTTTTTCAAATTACCAAATTCAACCACGCAGCCCCCATTGCAGGGAATCCTGCTTTTTTGGCCTTGTGCGCATCAGCTCCTCGAAGTCAGTGCAGCTTTGCCAAGGGGCTGCTGGGGACCATGAGGAATGGAGGCATCTTGCCACAGGACTGCACGAAGGCATGTAGGATGTTTTTGTTGCAACAACATATCAGGCGTAGCTCAAGCCCGTCGGATGTAGCAAGCCTTCTGCCCACCATAAAAAATGCCTACCTCCCGTGGATTGTGCAAGGACTGCGATGTAGATATTGCAGTTTGGCGGCCTGATGCTCGCCAAATGGTTGTGCCTGCCTTTCGAACTGCCCTGACTGCTGCAGGCATCTCGATGTACCTGGGTCTTCACAACAAATGTGTAAGTTAGCACTGAATGTTCACAGCTCCACTTGGACTTCAGTTGAGCTGTGCAAGGTATCACATGCCCATCTACCTTCAGTATCGCTTTTGCCTGGCTTCCGTCCCGGCAGCAGCAGACCCTCGGTCCGTGGATGGTGGTTTGGCCTGAGCCTTTTCTTGTGATTCTTCAGCAGCTTTGTCTTGTTTTTCTGCGGGCTTATTAGGGTAACCTGAAAGCAAGAGCACGAAAAGAGCTTGCAGCAAAACAGGCCACCTGCCCTTCGTGGACGCACACTTGGCAGATAGGGCTGCGGGCGAGCAATGGCACTACATCCACCGGACTGAGCTCTACCGCTGCGCCTGATGTAAACAGGTCTGTTTGCATCACATGAAGCACAGGACTGAGCTCCAGTACGCCCACAGCTTTCCACTCGCCGGCCTCATGCGCTGGCCGGACATGCAAAACTAAGATCTTTGTTTGGATGTCTTTGAATCTTAGGAGCTGAGTTGTCACAAGTTGTCAGAAGTGTCAGCAGGTCGGCCACAGGCTTGGAGGATCTGCGGGAGCGCAAAGCTTTCGGAAGCGCCAGTGTCTGGACGCCCCGACAAGACCAGGCCTGCATTTCGGACGAAGGAATTTCCCGAAATCAAGGCCTGTTTCAGGATTACAGCGCATTGGAGACTTTCATGTACTTCAGGTTTTTACTGAGATCTCAGACAGTTCTCCACAAAAAGCACATTCTTTGCCGGTTCATGAAGCCATACTATCGCGCCATCCACGGAGCTGAATAGCAGTTCAGAGAACTGAATCACCAAATCGTTCAATTCGCCCTGCCGGCTCAGAATTGGGCACATCAGCCTCAACAGGTTTCTGCAACTTCTTGCGCATCTTGCACAGACAGAATCATCCGGCTTGTGCAGCTTCGTTTGCTGATGCAGGGCATGCCTCAAACAGCATTGAGCATCACAGCAGCCATGCTCCAGATCTGCCAGCCTAATGCTAATGCTCATGCCAGCCAGCAGAATGTCCATGGTTGGGATATCTTTGGTTCGCTTGTCTGATGGAGCTCTTAAGACGGTCACCCCTCACATGCCTTCCAACAACAAAGTGTTTTTGTGACCGAGCTCATCGATTGGCCGGTCTTAAACCCCCAAGTGGTTGTACTGTCCCATCAATCAAGGTGAGCGCTACTAGTTGCCATGAACTATGCTGCAGTCTTTCATCTCCAGTGCTTCTGGCCCTAACTTCCCGCATTTGAGCTTTGGTTTGAGGAACAGGCCCCTTAGCTGTGACCATTGGGGCCGACTGCCGCCTCCTATCCCTCATGGGGTTGGGAGGTGGCGGAAGTCCTCTTGATCTGTAATGCCCCAGTGATCTGAATCCTGCGCTGCCGCTGTGGCGGAAGACAGGGCGCACTGCCAGCCAAAGCCCCCTGTCTGGACTGGAAGAAAACGTTTGGGTAGAGGCAGCGGCCTACGATGATCGTGGGCATCAGCAGGGTCAGCTCGTTCTTTACCTTGTTGACCCCGGCGACCAAGTTGGCGCGGAAGCAGGTGTTGGTTTCATTGGCAATGTGTTGGCGGTGCAAGTTGGATACTACAAATGGTGGGTGGAGCACTCCTTCGGCCCATACGCCGTGGACGACTGTGTCATTCCCTTCCGCTTCTGCATTTGCATACGCCCCGTGAATGAATGTGGAGTCGAGACCGCGTACAGGGATCCGATCCACATCGACGTGTTCCGGATCATCCCGAAGGAGATCCTTGGGCAAGATCAGCTGGTTGACGGAGGATGACAAAGCCCGGATAGCAGCTCACTGAGCTTGGCTGCACCTGCAGCGCGTGGTCATTCAGACCCCTTGGGCATCGCCCTCAAAATGCGTACGTGCTGCAAAAGTCCTGAAAGAAAAGCTTCAGACTCCTGAGGCGAGAAACCTACTACGCGCACGAAAGGAAACAGACAGCAGAAGGAACGATTGCTTAAAGGAGGAGGCACAATCACGCGGTCGATCCTGTTCCCAACCCCACGTTGCGGGCCTGCTGGAACTTGCAGCATTCTGGTGATCTAGCGCGATGTTGAGGATAGTGTTCTGAGGCCGCAATTCCATTGCTCATGAATTCATGAATCCATTCTTTTTTCCTTCGTCTTGTTGACAACATGTAGTGTTGCCTTCATTCTCATGCAGCCGATTTACGTTCTGAGCTCGTGACTTTTGTCTATGCTTTGCAGTTCTGCGAAGCAAGAAATGGGATGGGTTGAAGTGAGAAAGAGGTTTACCGTAGTCTTCAGCACATGAAGCTTGAACAACATTGGGCTTGAAACGACAGCTTGGAGGTGGGTCCTGGAAGAAGGGCGGGATCCGACATTTGCTTGAGCGATTCATGAGCTTAGTTGTTTGCATCCGGAAAAGGCCGAGCAGTACCTGAACACTGTCTACGGGAAAGACTGGCCGACTGTTGTGCGCGGCCGGTATGGAGCTCTTGTCTACAATGCCAGCAGTCTTGGAAGTTTTCGGGGAGTCATCGCGCGGCCCAGTGGACCTTTGCGGGACGTGCTGCAGGAGTCTGTTGCTGCGGATTAGAGAAGCCAAGTTTCTGTTTGAATTGAAACGCTTGTTCTGATGTGAGCACAACCAATCCTCTTCGTGTAAGGCAGCGCCTCTTCGGAAACCTGTTGCCCGGGGCTGCTGTGGTTTGCACATCAGATTGCGACCTCTGAGCCGCTTCTGAGCCACGCTGAGCTGAAAGACAAGGTGATTCAAAGCCGTAGGCAACCAAATGTCAGAGATCTTTTCATAAATCTGCTCTTAGCTGAAGCTGTGACCTCCAGCTCTGTACGGCCTTCAGCTATGCGCTTGGGAGGCGGCTTTCATGCAGTTTATGCACCATCCAGGGTACATGGTCTGTGGCTCAGCGGCTCGTGCCATTCGTCCAGCTTTTGTTCCTTTGTTTCCTGAAGGCTATGATGCAGCAGCAGATGGGCATGATGCAGTCGCTGGTCTCATGGATTCTCTGCCACAGCTGCAGCATGCTGCAGCTGCCGTTGCCATTTCTTAGGCCCCACATGATGCACATGGGCATGCGTCCCCAGCCGCGCCTTGTCGTGATTTGAGCATCGAAGCTAACCAGCTAACCTGCTTGCTGGGAGGGACTTGCCTTGAAAGGTGGGGCCCGGCTCGACGAGGCCTGATCTTTTTTGCGTTCTCAATCAACCGAAGCTGGTTGTCTGCAGGACGCAGGTCATCAAGCAGCGGAAGTTGCTTGGCTGTGGTCTCTTGCGCTAGGCTGCCTTGCCGCTTCTGCTGCTTCTCTCCTGAGATCTTTGGAGGCTACTCCAGCAGTGAGTCCCGCAAAGAAGGCGCACACTGTGTGTGTGTGTGACAGTTATGAGGCGGTTCTGTAACAGTTACTACTTACTCTCGCATCTTGCCTGCTTGCCTCCTTAGCCATACTTGCAGCAAGCTTGAGGCGCACAGCCGGACTCGTCCTGCACGCTTGCAGCGCATTCAGGAAAGGAGGTGGAGGAAATCAGCTGTGAAATGCTCTGAGCTGGCTGAGCTGGCTATGCGGCTATGCCGGCTCTTGGCCTCGAGGAGTTTCTGAAGGCAGCCACCGAGCTCGAAGCGGAGGCGCGGAAGTCAAAGCTCCAACGCACACGCTCAACGCACATGGCCCACATGGCACATGCTTTGGGCACTCGCATTTCGCTTGGTTCAAGCATGGAAAGCCTAGAAGCCGAGTTCTTGCATCTGCAGACGCCCACCATGCATGCAGACCTGAATTCACAACAATATCTCCCAGCACCTCTCATGGGCCGAAAACGCCATGCTCTTGGGGCACCCGGCGAGGAGGGGACAGCTGCGGCCTCAGCGCGGCTCTGTGCAGTCGTTTGTGCAGCTGTTTGTCCCGAACCACGGCAGGTCTACCAGGAGTCCGGGGATCCTCTGCTGCTGGCGCTCTTCCAAGGTGATGCTGAGGGTGCCCTGCAATTGCTCAGGGCCCAGGACAGCAGATAGCAAACTGTGGCTGCGCAAAGCACGCTTCCAAGGATCGAGGCAGGCGCCGACGTGGAGGCACTTTTTGAGAGCTTCAATTTATTCCTTACACTGAGCCCAGCAGGCCATGGATCAACTGGGCTGGCGGCCCCTGCACCGCGCTTGCTTCGCAGGGCTGGCGGATGTAGCAGGAGAAGTAGGCGAACAAGAAGAGTGTGGGGCCAGGTAGGGAATCTGAAGAATCTCGCACTCCAGGACTGCTGCTTCAGAAGCGTGCGGAGCCTTCGTCAGTGCTCTGGTATGCACAAAGAAACACAAGCTATTTCCCCATAGCCTTCTTCAGCCTACATGCGCCAAGGCAGACAACGATGGGCTGCAGCCTCTTCACGTGGCAGCTGCTGGTGGGCAAAGCGCACAGTTTGCCTGAAATTGCTTGCCTGCTTTAGCGACTTCATGGCCGATCCGAAACGCAGATGAGGCATCTAGAATGCTGCCAGCATCTTCTGCATGCCCGAGCTGATCCAAGAGTCCCTGACGGGCTCAGGGCTCAGTGTGACCTGCTTTCTGGGATCGCCGCGTAAACTTGAACTACCACTTCTCCTTGGGCGTCATCATGCTCACCATTCTTGCAGAAGAGGGCTGGTAAGCCTCCCAGCAGTGCAGTGCACCTATGTGGTCTTCAGATCCTGGTTGCCTCCTCGAATTCCCCAGCAGGATTTCATTGCAGCACAGAAGAAACGCCACGCTGACCTAAGGGCATGCTTGTCTTGGTCTGCCTCCGAACCTGTGAGCTTGCATACCCAAAAAGCACAAGTTGAAATTGTTTTGGCAGGTCAGGCAATTCAACACACCGGTTCACGCCACGCGACTTCACCACACTTTTTGCTGTGCGGTTTCAGGTTTCATGTTCTTCAGATGTTGCTCTCGTGACGTCGTGGCAGCGTCGTAGCAGGTATATGCAGGGTTCGATGGCCGAGTGACATCGCGCGCATACGGTTGCCTTTGATGCATAAAGGGCGTGCCTGCGACACAGCACACATGTTCAACTTTGAGACATATGCGGGGCTGGGGTTGGAATCCCATGCACACGTGAACGTCCAACATGGATTTTGGCGGCTGTCATTTGTGAAGCTTGGCTGTCTGTTGCGTCCGGGTTGATAAGGCTGGCTGCGCAGAAGTGCTCTATGCATCCGTGAATTGTCAGGTACGGCGGCATGAGCGCGCAGATGCATGCCCTCGCACAGGACCCAGCTGCCAGGATTTCATTCCATGAGCATACTTGATTCTCTTTCTTTCGAGGGGATTTGGTTGCTCATATTCGTTTTAAGTTGGTGACGCTGCATATCTGAACATTTGAGTGCTGTCAGGAGGGTGAAGCTGGAGCTGCGCTAAGGGCGCTGCTGGGAGAGCTGGATGCCTCAGACCCGCCTGCAGTCATTGGTCAACATTAACAAACCTAAGAATCTGCCGTCCCATCACCGGCACTGTCTAAGCAACAAGGATCCGTAGCTAGCGCAAACTTGCACAGGGCAGAGTGGCTGTGCCGTTGTAGGCCCAGCCTGAGCTTGTTTGCCGCTTGGGACAACCCGCTGTCCATGGCAAGGCCACGTGGCAGGATGTTCACTAAACGCTGGAGCCAAACGTTGAGCCAGGCATTTGGCTGATGCGCCAGAGGACCTTTCGCTCCCCAGTGCGCCCCTGCTCTCCTGCTCTGCCGCTTTGCCTCCCTTGAAAGGACCAAGCGCAAGAGGTCGAGAACTGGCTGCGCAGGCGAGCTAGGGTGATTTGAGCTCAGAAGCGTAGCGTCTGCTCGTCATGATATGCTGTGCGTGTCTTAGGCCCCAGCTGCAATTCAAGCTATGTCCGCCGGATGCAGGATGGGTGCTTCCTTGACAGCCATGAAATCAGGTTTCGTGCCGTGCTGCTTTGTAGGAGATGCAGCGCAAGGGAAGGAGGCTGCAGTGGAGGATGATGTGGATTGAGGCATCGGAGCTTTGTAGCCCAGGGGTACTCAGCGCCTTTCATCTGTCGGCAGGTGGCAGGGAGGAAGAGAAGCCATGCAAGCAAAAGACCTGCAACTTTGCCAGAGCTGCTTTCTAGAACTGCGCCTGGTGGGTCGGGGTATGTCGCTGAGCAGGTGGCAAATCGCTTCCGGGATATGCCGCCACATCTGCAGCAAGAGGTCATGCGCCGCGGCCCTTTAGATGCCAGGATCCGGCATTTGTTTCTGCTCAGCAGAAGGTGTGCAGAGTTGCATCGACATGGTTGTGTCAGAAGCTGTGAAATCATGATGCTGTGTCTTGCAGGAGCCCAACTTCTTCGCTGTTGAGTCGTATGAAGCAGGCCGGCTGGGACGTTGCTTGCAGCTCTCAGTGGCCAAAGCATAAAAGCTGTGGTGCAGGGCAATGGCAATGAATGTGCACACTGCAGCATGGGATCGCAGATTCTAGTTGTGTCAAGATGTGGCAGGCACCACGCGTAAAACATCATGCAGCATCCAACAAGGAACCCCTAGACCTGTCTTCACTCCATTTCCTCTATCCTCCTGTCCCCCAGAAAATCAGAATCCCAAGCCCTGACAATCTGCGACTGTTCCCTGTTTGGCTGGTGAGGCCCTGGAAGCAGATCGATCTGGCTGCCTGCTGAGAGGTGGAGGCCGAAACAGATCTCAGGGCTGCCTGAGCAGCTCAGAATTTGGGGAGACTTTGTGGTTTGGGGGGGGCATCGCGGATTGAGGCCTTCCTGGAGGGATGGCATGGGGGCAAGTGGGATCATGTGGGGATGCTTTTGGATGTAATTGTGGGGTTTTGTGGAGGCCGTCTTAGCCAGTATGCAGTGGTTGGGCACAAGTGGCTCCTTTGAACGTTTTCTCTGAAGGCCCGGGCAATGGGGGGCCTCTCGCTTAGCTTGCAGGAGAGAGATTTAGATCCTTTGAAGTGGCAGACAGCAGGACAGCAGCGTGCAGCTTCCAAGGATGCGGCCAGTGAAGCAGTCTGCCAAGGCAGCCATCGAGGCTGGCCGCTTTGGAAAAGATGCACACTGCAAGGCGCCGCAAGGCGCTGCAAGCCGCCAGCCAGGCTTTGATCAACGACTTCCATCTCCAACCGGAATGTGCCTGGATGCTGCGGTCTCTGCCGCCTGATAAGCCTGACCCTCACGCTGAACATGTCGAAGGCTAAGCTCAATCCCATGACAGCCCAGGCAGAAGCTGGCAGCTAGGATTGATCCCTCTGGTCAAGCAGATGCGTCCGGGTGAGACGATTCGCTGATCTTGCTTGTGTGTCGCTATGCTGCCTATAGAAACAGCTGCTGGGAGGTATGTGGCCGAGGAGCTGAAGAAGATCGTTTGAGCAGCTTCTGCGACCAGACCCTACGTAGGAGACGCAAAAAAGGTGGCACAGGCATTTGCTTGGCTGACTTGAGAACGGCAAAACTTGCTCCGAATGATCATCATAGTGACTACAACGTATTCATAATGTAGTATTGAGGTTCTTTAGGTATCCTCGGATTTGAGTGTACACCGTCGTTTTGCAACTGTTATGGATGTGGTGATACCCTGCTTTCACGAGAAACATATCGTCAGATCTCGGCTGACTATTGGCTTGTGTTTCAAAAGGGAACCATGAGAGCCCAAATCCTTTTGAAAACCCGGCAAGTCTTAGGCGCAGACCAGGGCGACGCAAACAAAGATAGTGTGCTCCTACTAGAGCATTGCTGCTGTCGTCCCTGGCTCGGTGGGGTCGACGACCCAGCCAATCACCAGTGGCAGCGAAGTGCTCCTCGATATGGGTGACTGAGGCGGTCAGCGGTCAAGCAATTTGCAATGGATCGGTCAGTGGAGCTTCGATGCCATCAGCTTGGATCAGCGTAGATTGAAACAGGTGGCCCGAACCTCTCTGTGGCTTCCAGGTCTTCCTTGTTGTCACCATCACTCACCATCACCAGCACCAGCGTGACCCAACATCATCAGACATGATGAAGGACAGCGCCGGGGCCCTATCCAGCCCCTGCTCCTCCACGATGCCCTTATCAGAGCAGCAGGAAGAGTCAGTGCTTGGATTGACAGACCCGTTCACTGCCTGTGGCAAAAAATCATGAAACATAGAGAAGGGGAAGCCCTGCCCAAAGAGGCTTCTATACCCCCTGCGGCAACCGAGCGCGTTGGTATCACTATGGGCTTGGCGTCTGACCTCATCCCAGCCTTCCAGCAGCCATTATGGGCAGGGGACAAACTCCAGGATATTGACGGGCCACGCCAGTTTGTGGGACAGCCGTTCAACCTGAACATCATCACTCACCTTCTACCGCAATGCAACGATGCGGGCGCAGACTTTCTGGATGCCCTCTGATGGGACGGGGCGCTGTTCGGTGTGGAAACACCTTTTATCCAATCTCAGGGATGGCCTTTGAAGTCGGAACACAGGTGAGGACTGAAACCCCCTGCTTCCAGCAGTCGTCTCATGCTCTCTCGTAGGCTCTTTGCGCTCGATGCTCGGTCTTGGTCGCTGAGAGCGGTGTCCTTGGCCGCTGCAATTCCGCCGTCCGATGCTATCTGAACCTTCCAGTACAGGGCTAACGCCGCCTGATGCATCGGGCTCTTGCAGCTTTGTTTGCAGCGCATCTCCCGTTGTCAAAACCTCCATTGCCATGTTCATCGCGGCCAACTTGTTGCTCAAGGAGAGGTCAGGCACCTCTACAATCTCAGCGGTGTGGTTCCCGTGTCATCCACGCGGCGCAGCGGCAGCAGTTGGCGAGGCGCTGGGCGTGGAGGCCGCGAGCTCAGAAGACAAGACGTGGAAAGCTTTGAACAGCTGTGTCCCGAGATTTTGAGCCAAAATGGCAGAGCCATTATGGCAGAATGTTCCCGACGTGTGTCTTGCAATCCGCAAGCTTCTGCAAGTATACAATTGCCCGATTCCTGCTCTTGCTGCGGCGCTCCAAAGTCGAGTGAAACGGATTACGCACCTACGCTGTAGTATCAAAGTGTGACTGGAGTAGGAGGCTAGAGTCAACATAAGTTTCCACCAACGACACTTGAACATTCCCAAGGATCAGTCCCCCAAATGCCCTTTGTCCCTTTGTGCTTTAGACATGTTCAACAGATGCAGTGCGGAGCGCCAACGTTACGCCCGGTATGAGCGCCAAGCCCCTCAGGGTCGGCGAAGGAGAGGGTTGTAACACTCTAATATTAGGGGTTGCTACGCTAAGCTTCTCGGCCCAAAGCGTTTTGTAGAAAGCTGTTAGTTGG